CGAACTATTGAACCAGAGATGGGTGATCTCATCCTTGGCCCTGTTGTAAATGCCACTGTGTCTAAGGTGATTGCTATTGCTTCCGATCAGCTCAATTTAGCACTGGGATGGAACGAGGACCTGCAAAAGTTTTGTAGTACAATGAGGAGTCTCCAAGGTTTGTTGCAAGATGCTGATGAAAAGAATGTCAGTGGCAACCTTGCTCTGAAGTCCTGGCTCCAGGATCTTCGAGCTATTGCAGATGAGGCTAATGATCTACTGGAGGAGGTCGCTTATGAAAATATGCGGCGTCAGATGGCAGTTCAGAAATCAAAGGTCAGGTACTTCTTTACTCAGGCTGACCCCCAGGCCTTGCTATTTCGCCAGAAAATGGCTAATAAAATTAAGAGTTTGAACAAAAGGCTTGCTGGTATCAATCTCTTGGCTAATCAGTTGGGACTGCAATACAAACTTGCAAATGCGGGTCCTGAACCCAGAGCCAGAGTAGGGCTCGAGACCCACTCTTTGCTTCCATCACCGGTTTTTGGAAGAGAGGAGGATGTCTCTAAAATAGTCAGCTTGTTGGTTGACTCAAGTAGTCAGCATGACCTCTCTGTCATGACTATAGTGGGTATGCCAGGCCTTGGCAAAACCACTTTAGCAAAAGCAGTGCTTGAAAATGGTAAAATATGTGAACATTTTGGTGATAATAAAATGTGGGTTTGTGTGTCTGAAAATTTTGATGTCAAAAAGATTTTAATGGAGATGTTGGAGTCTATTACCAAAAGTAGTAGTGGCGGTGGGGATATTGGAAGCAAAGATACTGTGCTGAGGAAAATACAAGAGAAGTTGGGGGAGAAAAGTTATCTTCTCATACTAGACGATGTTTGGAATGAGGAGAGACAAATATGGGAGGATTTAAGGAATTGCTTGTTGGGAATAAGTAAAAATAAGGGGAGTAGGGTGCTTGTGACAACCCGACTTGAAAATGTTGCATCTCTAATGGCAGTTAGTGGTGAACACATTTGTCGTCCCAGGCAATTAAATGAAGATGAGTGTTGGACTATAATCAAGCAGAGAGCATTTGGAGACAATTCAGTACCAGAGGGGTTAGAGGGAATTGGAAAACAGGTTGCTAAAAGATGTAAAGGCGTTCCACTAGTTGCAAGTATTATAGGGGCTACTTTGCAGAATAAGAGGGACAAAAAGGAGTGGCAGGCAATTACAGAGAATTGTGTATGGGATTCACTGGAAAAAGAGAACAGGGTCTTGGATATAATAAAATTCAGTTATGATCGCTTGCCTAAACTGGCTTTGAAGCAATGCTTTGCATTTTGTTCCATTTTTCCTAAGGATTTTGTCATGGGAAGGGGGATGTTAATTAAACTTTGGATGGCTCAAGGATTTCTTGAATCATCTGAAGAAAGTTGTATGGCAGCAGAGGAGATTGGTGACAAGTATTTCAAATATTTGTTATCATATTCCCTATTTCAAGAAGAACGGAGGAATCATGTAACTGGGAGTGTTATATCTTGCAAGATGCATGATTTGATTCATGATTTTGCTCAATTCATTTCAAATTTTGAGACGTTGATTGTTGAGGAGCAGCCCGGTAGTCATATTTCTCATCATGTTAGGCATTTGAATCTAATTGGTGGGAGGGAAATGGTGCCAACAATTTTAGGAGATGTTGCTAAAAAGTTGCAGACATTGTTTTCCAAGTATGGTTTTTCTAGTGATGTGCAAGTGGATCTTAAAAGGTTGCGGGTTCTCAAGCTTGATGATGCTTCTGATGCAAAACAATTGCCAACATGCTTTGGCAACTCGAAGAGCTTGAGGTACCTAGACATTTCAAGAACTCAAATAGAAGAACTGCCCAAGTTCATCACCAAGCTATACAATTTGCAAACATTCAGATTCACGAACTGCAATTCTCTTAAAATGCCTCCGGGAGGAATAGGAGATTTAATCAACTTGAGGTATATTCATTTCAGTGATGAAGAGCGTATGCCTGCAAATCTTGGGAGACTAACCAACCTACAAACATTGCCACTATTTTTTGTAAGTACAACAAAGGGACGTAAAATTGAAGAACTGGGAAGCTTAAGAGAACTCAAAGGAAGACTAGAGATCCATAAGCTTGAGCTTGTTAAAGGCAA